GGGCTGTTTAGCTTTTTGAGCCCCCTTCCTTGAGCCCACTACCTGCCCTTTCGATATCGTCCTGCCATTGGTGGATGAAAGAAGAGAGAGCGTGGTAGGTGCTACGCAAGTCTGCCTTATCATAATTCACCGATATAGCACGCACTCTGTACGGCACATGGCAGGCGTCTTCGCCCACGTCGATGGAGCTGTCATCGTAGTAGTCACAAGTGATAGTCATCTCACTGCCACCAAGGTCACGGACTTTTTAACTGTTTCAGCTGCTGTTTTACAGACTGTGAAATTAAATTGGTGGATGAAAGGGAGATGAGAGAGCTTGAGAACTGACAGTGAGAACTCTCTGCTCACGGAACGTCAGCGCATTCCTCACTACAATAAATATGACGCGTTTGAGCTTACCGAGACCCGCTAAGTTTGGGTCATATCGTGTGTAGGTTGACCAGATGGGCTATCTAGCGTTGTCAGCTCGTGCTAGACTCTGCTCCTGTGAGCACTGTGTCGCCATCGGAGCAGGACTGAGAGTGAAGCAAGCATCTCAAATGCAGTTTTTAGCATTTTGGTGAATGCTGAGGTAGTGCTGGAATGGTGATGGATAAGTCGCACGCATAAGCAAAATATTCCTGCATGATTTACCATTGTAATTCAAACAAATACACACCGATAGAAGCGAAGAGACGCTTCGGAATCGGAAACGTCCAGCTAATAAAGCTCTTGTCCCGGCGATCGTGTCGCCTTCTTTAAGACACACCGATTTCGTCGACCTTATGCCGCTGCCTAACGCATTTGCATGGGGTTCGGCGCGTCAGTGGGTCTTCCAGCGTTCCCCGCAGGCCTTCTGGTGTGCATAGAGATTGTAGAGTTTCAGCCCTTTAATCTGCGTTGAAATTAATGTGCTACTTTGAAGTTAATCCTTCGGGAAAATCCTTTTTCAGACTCGGTCTGAAATGCGGACAGTAAATCAAATGTCCTCTAAACTATTATCCCAACTAAATATTTCAACGACCTGGAATCTTCCTCATCTGCATTTAAATACTTCCACTAGAAATATCAAATTTATGTCAGTTAATTTACAGTGCAAGCTTGAACTCTCTTGGACTTTCATCATAGAAGGGATCGTCTCACTCGCACGGTATTTTGTCTGTTTTAGCCATGAATTTGTGCGTGGAGCGGATAACGGTACTAGGTCGGGGTCGTTATCACAGTGGCCATTGTCATCGTGCTCAACTAAAGCGCCTACACCACCGAGAGGCATACAGTAGATGCGTTATCTCATGAAATATCTACCGGAGTACTGAGATGTCTCTTTGACTATAAAAGATAAATTAAGTAGGTTCGTAAGACTAACTAGCGTGCAGCACAATCACAAGATACCTCCACCACGTCAGGATGCCGGCTTTTAAACGAGCTCACATTCGGCTGCTTGCAAAAATCGCGCTCTGTAACAAATAGCCACTTAAATATTCTGCATTGTCCCTATCGACTTTCTAAGCATTTATGCATTTAAATATATTCCATAGAAAATAAATGCACATATATTCTTTCTTACGCTCACTCTGTGGCCAAGTACAGTAGGTGGGCTAACTCATGAAATGTGAACCGAAATGCGTTTTTGATTCAAAAAAGTAATTAAATAGGGTTGTAAAACTAGTCAGCCTAAAACATAATTCTATATTATTGCAGTTACCTCAGGATGCCGGCTTTCGAAAGAACTCCCTTTTGACTGCATGCAAAAACTACACTCTGCAAAAAGCGACTACGTACGCAGCATGAATTTTTCTCATTGATTTTCGATGTCCCTAAATGTCCCTATATGACCTCCTCTTAATGACGTAGAGAAATTTGTGGTTTTCCGTACGCGGAAAATATACGCCATGTAGTTTGGAAGCCCTGAATCGACATGTGACAGTAAAGCAAGTTCAAAATTATTCCGGAAGTGGAAGAGTTTTTAAAAACCGAATTATACCCTTCCTTCGAATGTAAAATTGGAAGAAGACGTAATTATCTACCGAATGAGCAAAAATAAATATTTTTTGCATGTTTTCCATGACATACAATTATACCTTTAGGGGCATCGAAAATCAACGAAAAAATTCATGCTCCGTAAGCACTTGTTTGTTACAGAGTGCAGTTTTTGCATCCAGTCGGAAGGACGTTCACTCGAAAGCCGACATTCTGTGGTAACTGAAATTTTACAGAAGTATATTGCAGGCTGACTATTTTTATAATACTAATTAATTAAACTTTTTGAAACAAAAACGCAGTTTTGGAATTTCGGTCGACATTTTATGAGTTGGCCCACCTACTGTACATCTTCGTCAGATTTTATATTTAAAAGCACATCTTCTTGTCTTATAAAAATCACAGTTTCTTATAATTTTAGACCTGACCTGCCATTATAATTCACTTCAGGCTTTCCATAATGCTAGTCGAGTAGGTGTGCTATCTCATTAAATGTAAACCGAGATTCTGAGATGTCTCTTTGACTAGAAAAGATTGCTTAAGTAAACCCGTAAGCCTAACTATCGCGCAGCATAATTAAACGAGATTTCAGTCACGTCGGGGTGCTGGCTTTTGAACGAGATTTATTTCGGCTGCTTGCAAAAACCGCACTCTGTACCAAATGACTACTTAATTAGTATGGATTTTTCTTGTTGATTTTCCGAGTATTTATACATTCAAATATGTTCTATGTAAAACATATGCAAAAATATTCTTCCTCACACTCAGTCTTTGGCTAAGTACGTCCTCGTCAAATTTTATATTTACGAAATCGCAACTTCCGGTTTTGTAAAACCTCCTCAATTGCCAAATAATTTTGAACCTGATTTACCGTTGTACTTTTATTCAGGGTTTCAACACTGTAAGGAAAATTCCACATTTATATGAGCTGCTAAAACGGCATCCCACAGCGTTGGTAAAACGTTGCGATAGATATGGACCATGTTGTATGCTTTATGGGCAGACATTTCACTGTCATAGAAAATATCATAACTAGGAATTTTTAAAAAAAAATAGCACTGCTTCTTCAGGCAAAAGATGGAATAGTCGTACTTTGCTACTAGACGAGCATAAGAAAGAATACCTTTGCGCATATTTTCTATAAAATTGGGTTGGATGTATAAGAGCATCAAAAACCATGCGAACAATTCATACTACTCAAGTGGTCATTTTTACAGGGTGTAGTCACCGCAGATGGCCGCCCCAAAACTGCGTCCAACACAATCCCAGGTCATTTGGCAGGCTTCGTCTGTCGATCGTTGCGTTGACTGGAGAAGAGGGAGATTGGGGTAGCCATCCTCAAGGGACAGGAACGCGTTTTTTGTTATAATAAGCCTGGCGTACCAGAACCTATCACGACGCGCCAAGGGTTGTGGCTTGGTAGATAAGCAGGTGAGGGGATAATTTGGGCCTTTCCAGGACCGAAGGTCAGATCGTAATGGCTGCTTCTGACTGCGGCCCTTGTAGCACTCCAAGTGGTGTGATACTCAAGTGGCCCCCACATTAACCTGGCACATGTAGTGAGGACCAGGTTGAGTACTCTCATGCATGTGAGATGTGTGTGTGTGCATGGGTAGCGCCTCTCAGTGGGGTGTAGGGGTGTCCAGTGGTGGGTTCACGTGAAGGTCGTAGTGGTCGCTCACTTGCTTGCAGGTGAGACTACGCCTAGCGTCCATTTGCTGGCACCCAACTCTCACCTGTGGCTCCACGTAGCTGGGCTCTGCTCAGCGGCCACACCTCGGGCAACCGTCTCGACCGGCGGGCTAAACCAGGTGAGGGTATCCGTGCGTGCACCTGCACGCGCGGTACTGTGGTCTGCGCTGGCCGGATGGATCTTCGCGTCGACATCGTCGAGACGAGGCTCTGCCTGGACCATCGCAAGAGGCCACCAGGTAAGTTCCCCCTGAGGTAAGTGCGTTTGCTTTGTTTCCTCCTTTTGTTTGTTGAAGTTCCGCGTCGTACGCTGCGCTTGCTGCCTGCCCTTTATATGCTAGTCTGTCTGTTAATAGCTAAACGACACCCTCGATGCCTGCTGCGATTGTCTGTCCGTCAGTCTATGCCACTCTCTACTACAAGCTAGGTGTTACGGTGCTTGACTTTGTGTGGTGCCCTCACTTTGTCTCTGACTGATGACTGTGTCCGCTTGTCCACTCTAGATCTAAGTCCCCTAGCGTTAGTTAGTGTGTATGCTCTCTCCTACTTCACTCCATCACACCATCACCTCACCACCAAGGTCCCAGGCTAATTCGGGTCGTTCTCTCACTAACAAAAAGTCGTGGCCCATAGTGGAGTCCGGCAGCCGTCTGGGATAACCGGGCAGCCCTGTTCAGGGATGCGTTGCCTGCCCCCGCGAAGGGGGGGGGGCTAGAAAAGGTGCCCTAAAGATCGCTGGGAACCACGCTGTCTGTAGGCTGGCCGTGGCCGCAGACAAAAAACACACGGTCGAAACAGCCAAAACCGAAACAAAAACAACAACAACAACAACAACAATCGCTATCTTCCTCTTCCAGCCTATTCTTCTTCTTTTCCTACTCCTACTTTTCGCCGCCGCAGTCGCCAGACTGGCAGGGTGAGCCCGCTCACTCTGGCAGCCTGGAATGTTCGTTCCCTTTTAGACAATCCGAGGAGCAACCGACCGGAACGGAGGACGGCGCTAGTGGCACGAGAACTGGCGCGCTACAAG